CCATCTGCTCTTTCCTGCGACGTACGGCGACCGTCGAGCCACTCGCGTTTCACCCCCAACCGCTCGTTCTCAACACCTCCCCCGTCCGACGACGATTTCGTTCCTTCAGGCAACGGCCTCCTCGGAACCTGTCGCGCATTACAATCACTTCTCCACGGATCCCCCGCGCCTCCTTCCCGAGGCGCAAAGTCCGAGCGTCTCCAAAGTCCTGTCCAGATTCGATCGCGCAAGCCATCGTCGCGCCAACACCAGCGAGAGACCCAACACACTCAGGTTCCCGCCTCCCGGATAACCCCACAAAGCCCTTCGTCTGGCGCACTCAAGCGTCGCCGCGACGCTTTCGAATCGGAGGCAGAAGACGACTTGCCCGCCGTCACCACTCCTGCTCGCAAGACCGATTTTGAGACGGCTTCGACAGACGAACAATCGATACGTTCGCAGCGCTTCGCCACACCAAAACGTCAGAGACACCTTCCCTACGATCTGCCACTCGGCCTGTCACATTCAGACTTCTATTCCCTCCATTCACCACCCGTGTCGCAATCCCCAGCGTCACCGGCGCATCAGCAACACCCAGCCCCCTTGGCCACCAACCCACGCGCAAGCGCACGCGCAACAGCGCACCCCTTCAACCCCGACACAGCGCTCCCCTCAATAGAGGAGTCAGAACCCGCGCCGTCCACCTCATCCCCATACAGTCCCGATCTCTCTTGGGCCGAAGAAGACGACCAACGCTTCATCGGCCTCGTGCTGGAGAAATTCCAACTATCCCAGCGCAACTGGAACGAATGCGCCGAGAAACTCGGCAAGGACCAAGCCTGCGTCGAACGTCGCTGGCGATCTTTACTTAACAATGGACACATCGCCCTCCGTCGCGCCGGCGATCGCAAAGTCCGTCGACGATTGGACGAGAGCTTAATCTGAGGATCTCCTTCAATGTTTCCCTTCTCTACTTTCTCTTCCTTGTTATCTTGCACCATACTTTCCATTCTAATCACCCACTCCTCCTTCTTTCACCAACCATCATGATCAAGCAACTCACCTCCTTGACGGAGAGCTTGATCCATCAATCTTATCCCTGGATACACAAAGTCCCTCGATGGGACTTTCGTCCAGCAATCCCAACTTTATCTTACTAATGTATCTATATCTATCGATGTATTCTACAGCCCATGCTTACAAAAGGGGGACACGGTTTATACGAGGCGAACAAAATGCTTTTGGGGTTCTTTTGGCTTTTGGCTTGTGTGTATGGCTTATGGGATATGGGGTTCTTTTTTTTCTGGCGGATATTCCCCCTTCAGTTCTTTTTCTTTCTGGGTTCAAGGTTAGGTTTTCTTGGGGAGTTAGACAGACACAAACTGATTCAAACGAGGGCCGATCGGGTCTCTTTTTCTGCCGAAATTGTTTTCTTTTTGGGGGAGCTTAGGGTAACGTGGCTAGCATATATAAGTTAAGCTATCCGTGATACAGTAGGATCGTAAAGCTCTTCGTCTCGATTGCGTATCTCTCGGAGAGTCAACACTCTGATCGGAATATCATCGGTATTGACTACGGATTGCATAGTGCCTGCCTCGGTGGCCGGGAAAATTGCTCACGGAGATCTCATGTATCACATGTTGATGCTGAGGTCGTAGTTAGTGACTACGGTAGTATGTACTGTGGTAAACCAACCGGGGGCATCTATCTATCTGAAGGGTTCGAGAGGCACGGGTGAGTTGCGAGATATTGTGCTGTACGGTCAAGACTGCGCCCTACGAGAGCACTACTGGCAGGTACTCATCAAGGGGGGATAGATCAGCGCAGCCGATTCGTGGATTCACAGGGCTACTACCTATTTACCTATATACATATATACAGTCGGCTTCCGAGGTCCCTATGACTACCCAAAGACAGAATCACGCCATTTATACTGTACCCATCCCCGCCGTTGTTTACTGTTATTTCCTGTAGTTGCATAAACGCCTATTTTGCCTTGTACAAAGCACCCTGGGTTACCTTCGCTCATGGGAGCGAAACCGTTGCGTGATTCTTTACTTGCCAAGTGTGTGTGTATGGACCACCTCGCTCACATGGTTCTTCATCTCGTTTCTTTCTTGGCTTACGTATATACGTGGGTAACCATACAAGCATAACTATATGAACTTAGCGTGCTGCGCATGCCTTAATTGGCCTCGGGCTGCTCACGACTCACCGACCGGGCAGGAACTCGTGGATTTTGAAAGGATCGGCCTACCTTGAAGATAAATACTTATGGGAAATTTCGTGAATGAAGTTCACGATGCAGTTCTTGATATTGTCTCTTTTCACCTGAACCCAACCAAAGATAGAAGATTAAACATGCAGAAAAAAACAACGCCAAAACACCCAGCTCGATGATGTGGACCTAGAAGTACTAAAAAAAGTGTAAGGTGGAATACATGGATATCGGGTTAATTTCTTCCGTTTGCTCGCATTGACCCGTTTCTTTCTCTCAGCGTGGGTCGAACCGCTCTCGCCTGCTCTGCCTGCAGTAACAGTGAACAAGCTAGAATCTGCACGCCATCACCAGTTAGCCAGGCACAAGAGACTGGGTAGACGTGTAGACTTACCGAATCTCGTAACTTCCTGCCCGAGTCATATACCGCACCCACTTCACGCTGCTGTAATTGCTCTTCTCGAAGACTTTGAGATAGCGCACCAACAGCCCTGAACTGGTGAACATGAGCAGACTGAACGACAGGCTGAGCGGGGGCCTGCTCCAGGCCTTCTGGTGGGTCATGCTGGTCAGCGTCGCCTCGGCCGTGAGCACGTACTCGCTGCCGCCGGAGAAGCGGGCGATCTTCCAAACGATGTTGTTGTGTTCGGGCTCGTACTTGGCGCGGCCCTGGCTGGTGCGCTCGGTGGTCTTGGCCGTGTTGAGGGGGGTGGGGATGCGGATGACGACGTTGGTGGCGAACAGCTTGGAGCTGTAGTTGGCCTTGATGGCGACGCTGTACTCGACCTTGGTGGTGCCGACCTCGCGCACGATCGGGTGCACCTTGAAGGGGAGGTTGACGTTCTCCGTGGCGCGGTAGCGCATCAGCTCGAACTCCCCGTCCGGCGGCACGAACGAGATGATGCGGTCCGCGTCGAACCGGCCCAGCTTCACGCACTGGTGGAACTGGCAGTCCTCCAGCGTGACCGAGCCGGCCGCCGCGCGCGTCGCTTTCGTCGTCCCATCCCGGTTGCCGGACACCATCCCGCTGCTGCCGCCGCCGAACGAGCTCCCACCCCCGCCACCACTACCACCCCCGGCGGAGTCCCCATCCAGCAGCAACCGATCGTTGAGCCCGAATTTGCATTCCGGCGTGCCGGACAGGTACGCCCGCATCACGATCTGCCCGTTCACGTCCGCGCGCAGCACCGTCCCCGTCGCCGACATCAGCAGGTTCACATCCTCGATCACGTCCACGAACGCCTCATTCTTGCGGTATTTCACGTCCGACCGCCGCCACGACAGCGCCCCCGTCGCCTGCATCGTGATCCGACTCGAGTCCGTCGCGGAGTTGGCGATCGCCGACCGTACCCCTTCCGTCGTGATGTACATCTTCAGCGTGTCGGTTTCCGTGTTCTGCGGGTAGCCATAATCGAGGATTTCTGTTTCAATTCCGAGACCCCAGTCAGCCATTCAATTTCCGCGAGTAGAAGAGAGGGGTAAATTGGTTCGTTGGAAAGTAAACGGTGTGCTGTTTGGAAAATCAGAGGGGAAAAAAAACGCGAGGGGCCTCTCACCATCCAACAACTCGTAGATCAGCACAAAGTTATTCTTCACGGCCTCCTCGTCGAACTTCCCGAAGTAGCTCCGCCCCAGCATCACCAAGCGATACAGAAACTCGAAGACCAGCGCGGCATTGGCGTTGCTCTTGGTCACGGCGACCAGGTATATGTTCTCGTGCTTGACATGGCTGAAGGTGGTTGAGCCCAGGGTCAGGATCGGCGAGCGCACCTGCGGGTTGGAGATGACCTGGATGCGGAAGATGTCGGCCAGGCGCGGCCGGCAGTCGCTGCGGAACGAGCGGAAGATGAGATTCTCGCCCTTCTGATTGAAGACGAGGATGCCGGAGAGCATGGTGGAAAAAGGAAAGGAACGAGTTTGACAGCCGAAGAATAGGAAGGAGGAGGAGGAAAAGCGAAGAGGGGTGAGGGGAATGAGGGGGAGGGTTGATTTGAAAAGGGGGTCTCTCGGTGGGTTGCCGGTGGATGGAGAACTGCTTGCTCCCTCTCGGCGGGCGGAGGTTCGTCCAGAATCGGCGATGGGGCGGAAGGCGGGTGTGGGGGGGAGGGTGTGAACTACACACTACGGAGTAGAAATAATTGATTTACTTAGTCTTATACTACTCGAACTACTCGAACTACTCAAACTACTCAACCTGTCTGTAGTACAGTGACCAATTTCGATCATTTCCTAAACGTGATGGCAGTTTCAATAATCGCTTTTATGGCCCTGCTCTCTAGGCGCATCCATCCACGCAAACTCAACACCTTAAGTAGCCTGCCTTGCTCACTCAGATTCACCATTCACCAGCACATCCGGGTCAAGATACCCGCAATGATCATCAGGGAGGGTATTATGGATCCTAGGGAAGTGAGTTGGAGAAGAAAAACAATACAGTGTTAAGAACACAATGGGTGAAAGAAAGAAGGAATGGTAACATCAACAACAGGCATATCGAGGGTGCTCCGGCTGGTGTAACAACCAGAACATGTAGCACTTCCCTCACGCAAAACAGTCAAATGGTATCGAACACTCTGTAACCAGGCATGGATATCGTGCATGTAAAAAAATCAAAGGAACAAGTGAACGTGAAAATTAGAGTATGACTCGCAGCATCCCGCACATGTGCAAGGGGGCAATATATGCATGTGTGAAGAGAGCGATGATTAGAAAGAAGTAAGCCTTCAGAACATAGAAGGTGAAATATAGAAAGTGAAAGAGAAGAGAAAGAAACGCAAAGAAACGAAGATGACGGCCGTAAATTTCACACCGCACCACTACTCGGGCGAGTTCCGGGCAAGGAGAGGCCACTCTCGCTGGGAATGATGCCAACCTTTGGATCCGGGATTTGGATATCCAAGGAAAGATAGGCCGTTCGTCGCAGACTCCAGATGTGCACTCCATCCTTCGCCCCAACTTCCCTATTCCAGTTCTCCAGCCACGATTCCACGCTTTTCAAGTGACTCTTAATCGCGGGAGCACCCACGTCCTCCCATAACCAGCCAGTAAGCAAGCCCAAGGCGCTGTCGATGATATTGCGGAGGCTGAAAGGATCAAAGGCTTTGATGAGCTCGTCATTCACCGTAGCAATGACTCTGCGAAATTCTTGCTCCGGAAGCAGCGGATCGAGAATCTCGGGATATAGGTTCGAGAAAGTCGGAGCGAGATCCCCCTTCACCATCCAATCTCGTCGGATCCGGATGATACGCGTCGTGAGGAATTCTTCAGAGTTGATCGGAACATGCGGGTTGAAGTGAGGAAAGCATGGGTGAGCAGGGCCCCAAGCCAGTTCTTCCGCCATCTCAGGCTCTCCCCCGGCAGGAAACCCGGTATTCGAGGGCACTGAGGCGATCTGAGATTGCGATCGCAGTGAAACTTGCGACCGGACATGACGGGGGCGATTGTCCGGGTGCGGTCCTGGGCCGTCGGGCATAAACTCCAAGCCCAGATGCGCCCGCTCCGGGGTGCGTGGTTTTGGTGCATCCTGGGCGACATTCGACAATCCCAGATCGGACATTTCTTGCGAGATCAAATATTCCTCAACTGCGCCACTGCGCCTCTGGCCTCGAGGCACTGCGATGCTAGAGCGGCCACTCTCGGTTTCTCCTTGGCTGCGCTCGACCAACAGACTATTGGGGGACGGGTTGAGTCGACTCCGGCGTTGTTCGGGGATGGTCAGAAGCGGATAGGCGTCCCGATGCGCCTCGAGCGGCAGATTCTCCTCCGATGGCTGCGGGAATCGGGGGACAGTGACTGGGGTGATGCGCGGCACGTAATTGATGGGGTTCGCGAGTCGCACCGATGGCGGCCGTAAGATCGACGGAGAGATCCAGGAACTGTTCCGACGGCAAGAAAATTGGGCTTGGGAGGAAGTTTCGGCGGCGTCAACGTCGGCTGATGTGGTGGGATGGTACGACTCGAACGAACAGCGGCGGACGCGGTGGGCTCGGGGGGCTCGGGGGGCAGCACGATCTTTAACCTCGGACGATGGTAAGGGTGGGTCCAACGGCGGCCTAACGGGCGTCGTAGTTGCGGAGAGAGACGACAGGTGTGGCAACGGGATATGGTGAGACTGTGGAGGAGAAGCCGTGGTGAAGGAAGAAAACGTCGTGGTGGTGGTAGTGAGAAAGTTGGAGTTGGGGTTGAAGTTGCTGGTGCTGATTGTGAGAGGCTGCGGAAGAAGAATTGATGTCGATAAAAGCGACCGTGTGGACGAGCGGTGATTGGCTGGCAAGGATCGAAAAGGGGCGCGGCAAGGGACAGAGCCTGATCTGAGCACGACGACATTCAATTGAATGCTGCTGGTGCTGCTGTGGTTAAATGATCGCTGGTAATCATCAATTATCCTCAGGTAGGTTTATTTCAAGCAGTGAAGGGAAACCTGAATCTAATTGAAAGTTGAGGAAGAACGAGTGTGTGGGTAATATGAGAAGGGAATGACAGCCGATGTGGGATCAGTCAAATCTCCAAGTGTATACTTCAAACCTCCATCAGAAGCTTATATAGAGTAGTTCGATGGCAGGAAAGGGATAATGACGATCAATGATCCACGGACAGCAAAGAAATGAACGATAATAAGAATGAAACAGCACAGAAAGCCCCCCGGGGACCGCCATGATTCTTATTACAACGGACGACTTCCCCCAAGACCAGCCGCTATCCACTTGGGCCCGGCGCAGAAACAATAAACGAGTCAATAGCCAAGTAAGGCTCCATCCCATTCCATCACATCCAGTCGGCAGGGGAAGCTTAAAAGCACTGCCAGTTTGTTTAGGGAGCCATTTCCGGCAAAGAGGGCCATTGCATCATTTCCCCTTCTTTATGTGGTGGAGTTGGCGATTGCTGTAAGGTTCGCCGATTCATTCATTCATTCAAGAAGATGGAGGGATGCTTGGAGGATCCCCTGCCCATGACGACATCCGCCCGGCCTGGATCTTCAATCGTCAATCACGTGTTGCTGCTGTTTGCTTGTTTGCATGGTTGCGTGCCTGGTACTGTACTGTACAGCCAGTCCTACGACCAAGTTAACTAACTGCTAACATTACGATCAAATGTTCTGACATTGCTTGATGCAAGAATCCAGAAGATAGTATCTGAACTCGAGTAGTCGACCATCATCAACATCATTGCGCTTGTCAATCTACTCATCTCGGCCCGTCTTGGAGCTGGTCTCCAACGCTGGGCCCGCTCCCTACCCGTCATCTTCAACCACTACCACCACCATAATGCTACTATCCTTCTTCATCCTACCCGTGGAACTACAAACATCTGCTCTCTAACAACCACCGCCACCACCACCACCACAAACAGTCCCCTGAGACAGTGTCTAACTCATAACCAGTCCAAGGGAATGAGGATCGCGACACTTCAGTTTGCCCCACAATTAGGTGATGTCAAGGGTAATATCAAGAGAGCCGATGAGTTACTGAAGAATGGGAAGGTGGTGCGAGGTGTAGGTACGGGGGCGGTTGCCCTTGGTGTTTTGAAGCCAGACATTCTGATTCTGCCCGAGCTGGCCTTGACGGGTGAGTGCGACTTTGTCCTCCCTTTGACTGTCACACTATGCATGGGCTGCGGGATGGTTGGGCTGGGTGGCTTGTGTTGCTGATCCACCTCCACCTCCAAGCTCCCTCACCTCAAACTCTCCCCGAGACAGCTTGGTGAGCAAAGCTTGCTGACGTGAACAGGATACAACTTCCCCTCCCTGGAGGCTATCAAGCCGTATCTGGAACCGGCAGGAGAAGGTCCCTCGGCTGACTGGGCCCGGCAGACCGCCCAGCGCCTACAGTGCAAAGTCTGCGTGGGGTATCCTGAGGTCTACATGAAGACAGCGACCCGGGAAGGAGATGAGTCAAGTAGTCAGCACGAGACTTATTATAATTCTCTCCTTGTGGTCGATGAGAACGGTCGGGACATTCTCAACTACCGTAAATCCTTTCTCTATTACACGGACGAAACCTGGGCATCAGAAGGTAGCGTGGACCGTGGGTTTGAGGATCTGATATTCCGGAAAGGGGATCAGCACTCCCACGAGTCACACATAGCCACCTCCTTTGGGATCTGTATGGACATCAACCCGTACAAGTTTGAGGCCCCGTTCACGGCATGGGAATTTGCCAATCGAGTTATGGACTCGAAGTCTCAGCTGGTCATTCTGTCCATGGCTTGGCTATCTTCTCTGGGTCGGGAGGAGCTGGACCTCCTCGCGGATGAGCCTGATCTAGATACGTTCAATTATTGGATCCAGCGATTCTTGCCACTCGTCACGAAAAGAATGAGTCATGAAGTTAATTTGAACGAGGATGGCTCTGATCGAAGCAAGGATATCGTTATCGTCTTCGCCAATCGAGCGGGAGAGGAGCCAGGAGCAGCGGGGGCGAACCCGGCGCGTTACGCCGGTACCAGTACCATTATCGCCATCTCACAAAGGCCCAAGACCCTTCCCGCGTCGGAAGCTGCTCGTTCAGATAATTTGAGCAGGTCCAAAGCACAGACGGACTCGGGGGATGACGGAGAAAGCCAATTTGACGTCAAAATCCTTTGTTGGGACATGATGGGCGCAACTACGGAAGGGATATGTTTTGCTGATACTGCGGCAGACCCGAGCATGGTTTTTGCGTTAGCAAAGCGATCGTCGAGCTAAGGGTGCGACTGAGCAGGAGGTCGGCTTTCTCTAATGTTGGTTGGCTGGGTTGCAGCAGGGCGCTGTTAAGTTACGACCCATGCCGGGCGTTGCAGGCTAGTATCTAGTTACCTACCGTCTGCATCCCGTGGTTGGAGTGATATCATAGTAAAAGCCGACTGTCATTGTCAGTTGATTTCTTTGGTACTCTTTGGTTTAGAAACTAGAAGGCATGGATCCGTTCCCTTCGACAAACCTTTCTCCTTCTGCGGCCCATTTCCTCCGACAGCGCGTAGTGCTCATATAGGGAGAAACTATTTTTTGGGCCGCGTTTTGTTTATTTCTTTTCTGCCTCTCCAAAACACACGAGGAGCCCACCACACCTTTAAATTCCAGCCTTGCTATGGTCCCTGCTGCGCTATCATGTGAGACATCAAATTGGGTGCCAGGTGGGGGGGGGGAGGGGGGCCCATTATTCTGAGCAGCCATCCATGTGACAGGAGTCATCAACAATCAATCTTCAAGTGTCTTGCAGCAACACGACCAGAGTTTTTTAGCCCCCATATTCTCCTCATGGTGAAGAACAACCATTTCGAATGCTTGCATTGTGGCCAAGATTTCCCTCGAGAAATGTATTGTTCCGAGCATAAGCAAAATACTTGCTGGGGGTAAATTAGTTCTGGATCCCACACAAGCGTTTTATCTCATGACCAGCGATCCACCACTGTTGCCATCAGATGGTTCACCACCCCCCTCCCTTCCTGAGGACCGGACATTCAGACCTGCTCTGTCTTCTTGGCCTCCTTTCTCCATGTAACCCTCGAACATTTACTCCAGAGTCCTAAATCCGGTCAAGAGAGCAAACATGTGATGATTGGAGTCAGCGGACAGACGGGGGAGGGATTGAGAACTCATCCACGGCAACGAGGACATTTCTTTCTGATCGAAAGATAGTAAAGGGGTCGATATCCTTGTCGGTGGAAAGTTCAGGGACTCACTCTTCGAACTGCATGTCTACAAACCTCCCAGCAGGTGGGTTGACGAGCTGGAGGTCATGGCGGACATATAGTAGCTACATTTCATCCTACTGGGTGAGCGGAGAAGTAGATCATGACGACGGAGGCCATTCAATGAACAGCGTTGCTGCTGCACAAGGACGAGGGATCGGCAGCTAAGCGAACGGGCATCAGGAAAAATATGGAATGGACTTTAGCTACCTAACCCATACATGCTAACTACCTTAGCCTAGTTAGTCTAGACTGGTTGATTATCCTAACTACCTACTAAGTTACTTTACTGACTTACTGTCGAAGAAGGAACGGGCCGACCGGGATGAGCAGGCAGCCTATTCTCCCATGGCGCAGCATTCAAGGTGGTCTTTACGCCAATAGCTGAGGTGGCAGATGGTAGGATTGCTCCTTCGACGATTGAAGCCTTTCGGCGATGGTAATTGACTCCGACCATCTTCCTCCGCTCCCCAGGCAGTGCAGGCCGATAAACTTGTTAACCCTTTTCGGGCAAGGAGGGTTGTCGGATTCCACGTGATTCCGGGTCAACCCCTCCTCCGGCTACCGGGAGAGCATAGGGTGGCTAGCCAATCAGAAGGGTAAGCTGGATAGCTGAGAGAAGAGGGGGGCACGGGATGGCAGCACATGACATGTGGATGAGAAAGCGGTTGAATTAGGTTGAATTCGAGGGTGGGTGGGAAGACAGAGGGAGGGGGGGTGAGAAAGTGCAGCAAAAATGTAGATAATCACAGAATCATGGTGGTGTGATGGTGCAGTGGTCCCAGGGGAGGACAGTCTCTTTTGCACGGTGTCAGGTGACTGATCTGCGCCCTAGGTCGCTGTACGCACCCGGAGTTAGTGGTTCTCCTCACCCTACGGAGACTCCCTCTCCTCGATTCTCGTCCTCGTCCCTCGCCACGTGAGCAGTCCCTCTCTACTCGACTCTCTTCTCTACTCAAACTCCCCATGTATCCCTTTTTTCCATTGTAATAACCACCACACCTTTTTGCTTGAGCTCTAATCCGGTCTGCTCGCTATTTTCAGCTCTGACGATTTGATCCCAACCTTTCTTTTGGGAATTAAATTCGTTTTCTCGACATCGCGAGCGAATCGGTATCTCATCGTCTTGTTGTTGCCCGTGGCAGGTGACTTGCTGTCAGGTGATAGAGACACCATCCCAAGGTAAACCAGCTCTCCCTCTTTTCTTCTCGAACTTCAACTTCACCTCTGGGTACCTGAACGGGCTCTCCGCTCCTGCTATCCGCCTTCTCATATCTCAGAAGTCTTCCTATCCCCACATCCCTTCAGCCTCATGTCGGCCAAGGCTGGGTTAGGAGACGGTCGGGGATAATGATGCTGTGTTTTTTGCGCGGTTCCATCGGTCGCAGAACCACCCGGACGCGTCTCCGATGCTGCTGCTCCAACGGCAACTGACGAGTTGTGAACATGTCTTCACCTTTGTTGTCCTTTCAACCACTGTCTCTTCTTTTAAGAGGAGTCTAATGTAGTTGTATTCTTTGCTGCTGTTGCGCAAGGTGCTTTCATCTTTCGAGCAGGCCGTGGGTGTTTGTTGCGCCGCTGTGCGCGTCGCTCACGCGTGTACCAGGCAAGCATCAACATTAAAGCTTGTTGATCACTATTTGCTGAATCCCAAAACATGTGCACTAATTCTCAGTTGACTCGACGCACCTCTGCCTATCTGCATATGCCTGCACTCGCATGTCTTGCTTTCCTGCACTGTTGATTCACATAAGGTGGCATGTCAACTAACGGAAGCTACAGTGTCGCACAACAACCGAGTCAATCTCGATTTGGCCCTGAGTACCTGGTAACGGCTAAATTCGAATCTCATCGAGTTCTACCGTGTTGAACAGGTACCGATTCTTGAAGGGTCCGTCGCTGCGCGATTGGCTAATAACCATCGTGAGTCGCAGGGTACAGAGATCGGCAAGATGTCTGATCCATCCATGGGTACTGCTGATGGCAGTGTCGCCATCAAGCGCAAGCGTGACAGCACTGATGAAACTGGCCCCGATGCCCAGCGACTCAACCGATCCTCGAATGGAAGCAACGGGAGCCTCCCACCCACGGACAATCAGCCCAACTTCACGCACAGTTCGCTGGGATCCTATGATGCACATGGCCTCCCATCCACAGAGCTGAACATCGACCAGCAGATTCTCCAGCACGTCGGTCCGCAGAATGGTATCTCGGACGACAACGCCTTGACGGCTAAAGCTGCGCTTGCTGCGCACACTCCTCAGAACAAATACCCACCTCCCCCCGATAACACCTTCGACAACAACCTTGCGCACGGCTTGACCTTTGGAGACGACATCAGCCAGGCTATTGGATCCGCTCATGGTCACAACTCCACTGCTGCTGCGGTGTATGCTGCGCGTGAGGCACAGAGTATGAACCAGAAGCCTTCTGTTGGCTCCCCGGAGTGGCACCAGATTCGCAAGAACAACCACAAAGAAGGTAAGATCTCCCGACGGCAATGTTCAGTTGTCTATACTGACAGGTCGTCTTAGTGGAGCGTCGTCGTCGTGAAGCCATCAATGAGGGTATCAACCAGATTGCTCGCCTCGTACCCAATTGCGACAAGAACAAGGGTGCCATTTTGCAGCGCGCGATTGAGTACATTTGCCAGCTGCACGAGGAAAAGAAGGCAATGAGTGAGCGCTGGGAACAGAACAACATGACCACGAGTCATGCCATCAGCGAAATCAGCTCTCAGAACTCGAAACTGAAGGTTGAGGTCAACCGCCGTGGTGACATTGCTGTGAAATGGTTGCAACGTTGCCGCGATGCGGGTCTTGAGTTCGATGACTATGAAGAAGCAAAGGAGCTGGAGCCCCTTGAGGTGGATCCCGGCCAAGTCTAGTTTCATGTTGTTGTCCGTTAAATCTCTATTCCTGTGTCTGCGCGGCGTTCTTCCTTGGGCCATTCCATATGTGCTACGACTTGTTCATTTCCAGGAGCTGAGTTGTGACATGCTCGCTCCTTTTCACTTTCTTTGCGCTTGATGTTGCCGGTTGATATTACAACGTTCCTGCACAAATCCTACTTGATCCCCACCTGGTTCCTGTTTTCCGTTTTTGTTTTTGCAAGGGTCTTTTCACTGGGTACAATTATTTCATGGTGTTGTTCTGATGGGAAGACAACATGAGTTGTTGCTAATCTTTTCGCCATGGTCGGCTTTCTGATCCCCCTGCTCGTGCTCTTATTCCCTGTTGTATGCTACCTGAGTTTTTCGAACGGATGGGTTAGTCGCGAATCACATGGCTAGCAGTGGGGTTGCGGGCTATGTATATGGTCTGCAATCCGTTGCTCATATCGAAATTTCAGACGATGACTAACTTGGTAGTGCTCTGGGTGTACCTTATCGCTCTGGGTGTAAATGAGGTCGAGGTGATCCTTGAGACGTCATTGGATGCATGTTTAAAACATCTTGTGTATGAACCCGCGTCTCAGCCCCAACCCTGCCGCCGGTCTAGTCTCGTCTAACCCCAGCATTCCGTTGTCCAGAAATGTGGAGACCTCGGATGATCTAGGCCTTAGGTGGGGATATTGATTGAACATGACATTATACACTAATTACAGCCATGAAATCTGAGTTCTTGATTGCAATGAGATGTATGGCATACTGTACACCAGGATAAAGCAAAACAGTACGTACACATTAACCTGTCAAATTCCGATAGGGTGAGTCGCAGACCTAGAACAGAACCAAACCACCGAACCCCCAAGATCCTGTTCGCGTACTCATCCCCAGACCAGAAATCGATTCGACCAAGCCCAACGACTTGAGTCCAAAGAAGCATCGTCCGTCTTGCAAACTGCACACACAAGTCAATCAATACGATCCACATCCGGAGATCCTTCCACTCCTCACTCCTCACTCCTCACTCCTCACTCCTCACTCCTCCCCGTCTTCCTCCTCCCCCTCCTCAGTCTCACGCTCAAGACCCTCCTCCAACCCCCAAACCCCCAACACCCGATTCCACAACCCCACCGGCACAACACGATCCCTCTCGCCCAGCACCGCATTCCCCAACCCCACAATATAACACTTCCGATGCTCCCGATCCCAAATGACATGCTCCGGCCCCGGACGCGTATGCAACACCCCCGCCGCGCACAGCGCCAGGTACGTCTCGCGGAACGCCGTCCGCAGCGCCGCACGCTCGCTACCGCCCCCCCACATCGGGAGATTCCGGCAGTCTGTTCCCACCGGCATGGCCAGGAGGAGGATTGTGGCAAAGCTGTCCTCGGCGGATACGGCTGTCGCCATTGCTGCGGCGCTGAACCGTGTGTCGCGTGGGTTCGCGGCGAGGGCAGTGAAGGCGCTGCGGTGGGTGGTGATGAGGTAGGGCGCGTAGATTCTGGCCGTGGGGAGGTGGGTTAGGACTTGGTTTTCTTTTTCGTGCGCTGAGATTGGGGAGGTTTGGGGTTGGGTCTGGGTCTGGGTCTGGGTAGCTGAAGCTGAAGCTGTGGAAGACGCTTGGGGTAGGGGCACGGGGTGCAGTCTCATCTTCAGGATGGCTTCGCGGCCGCGGATGGGCCCGGTGAGTTGCTTCACGCGGGCGACGAGGGAGGTGATTGCCGTGAAGACTGGGGGGTCGGTTGCTGGGATTGCGGTCGGCTGCGTGCGGATGGAGAGGACGGTTTGGATCTCCCAGGTTTCTTGGGCGGGTTTCGGGGGTTTGGCTTTGCGTTTCTGTTTCGGGGCTTGGTTTCCCTTGCCCGTGGGAGGTTGGGGTTGGCTGCTTTCTGCCTCCGGCTGGGTGTTCTGTTTCCCTTTTTTGAGGTCTTGTTTGCCTGGTTTCTTGGAATCTTGGGTTCCGCCCTTGGGGTCTAGGGGGATTGCGAATTCGAACCCGGAAAAGAAGGCGGCGTTGTGCCATGGTTGGTAGTCCATGGTCCTTGTGGGTTGTGTCTTGATCGAGCGAGTGGTGATTTGAGATCTAAGGGAGTATAGGAGGGGGAGGGGGTTCAGTGGGGGGACGGTGATGAGTTAGAAACTGTGTTATTATATCGGATTTCGGAGGGGAGAATATCGATTGTAGGAGGTGGTATGAAACTGGTGTGAGTGTTTGCATATTACAGAAAGAGATTTGTGGGCGGCATAGAGAGGGAGAAGATGGGTTGTGCTGGATTTTCTATAATTAAGACCAAGGAAGCATTTCTAGTTAAGCTGTGCTGAAAGGGTCTAGTAGCTGGCTGAAGGACTAAATCTACAGTGTTTACACTTAAGCATTAAACTCAGATATAGGTTCCTAGTATAAGTCTACATGGCCGCATGGCAGGCTCCACAGTGGGCCAGATCTGAAGATGGAGATCGTTGCATGGTGGAGATATGAACTCCGATATAGGACATGTAGGCTAGCACAAGCATGATGCTATTCACTCTTTCTGCCTACGGCGGTGAGAGATCTTGATACCAGCATTACCAGATAAAATATCTTGGGGCCAGAACCTTATGAGCCTTTGCAGGGCCTTGTCCCTTTGCTACGCCCCAGGTGTATCAGCACTATTTGTCTGAGTTGTTTCTTGTCTGAACCATCACCAGTATCACCCTCTATCGGCCACTAATTCCATTGTCGTGATCGTCTTCAGCCCCCGTGCTCGTTATTCGCGCTGATACTTGCCAACTTCTACCTGGGGCCCTCTGTTCTTGATAACCTACGCGACTGCCTTTGCCTGATGATCTATCTTGATGAGTATCCTTGTATTCGAGCCCCATCTCGCACAAACCGATAATCTATGAAACAAAGGGTGAGAGCGTTCTCGCGATATAAAACATCGAATGCAGAGTCTACTGTCATCTCGCAAGGAATCTTGTCAGTAAGATGAACCCACATTCTGCTGCAGCTGTTCAAGTGGACCGGACAGCGACCGTTTGAGACCCGAGAGAGGAGCCGCCAGCTTAAGCAGCACGAATACCATCAACTATGAACCCGTCCATCCTCGATCCAGCATCTTCCCGGAATTCAAGATGTTAGTGAGTAGATAGACCATCGCTCCAGACTGAACATTAATGCTGATCAGATCCGCTTTGGTCTTCATCAGGGCTTAGGGGATAAGGCTCCTCGTTGGTGCAGACAAAACAGGCGACTGCAGAAATCCCTCAACGTGATAATGAACAGGATAAGGATGCGGGAGTGTCCTCCATCTGTACACTACTCTGGAAGAGGGTGCCTTTGCTTTGTTGTTCAGCGCGTGATGGTTATGACCAGTTTTCACAAGAAAGTTGATGGCTCCCTCGCACCGCAGTAAGCATGATACTTCAGCTTGTTCACGAAGCTGCAACTACAGATCGGTCCTACCGGTATACAATACTTTGATGTATAAGTCCCATGCGCTAGCGAAGGGAAGGGGCTTAGTGGTCCAATCGCCCCACTGTCAGCGATGCATGCTGACGGTATCATTCTCTCTGTGTTGCTCCAATTCTCCAATTCAGTCGCCGCTTGATCTTTCCTTCCCAACGTCACGGCATTTCTCACAATGCCTTGCATTTCCTCCCGACCAATAACTCTCCGCAATTTTATCTCTCGTCTCCGGGATCAAGCCATTGAAACGGCCGAAAAAGAGGCGTTGCAAGCTTGGGGCACGACTGCTGTCGACGCCTGCCTCAACACGTCTAGCATACCGCAGTTGGCATGGGAGGCTGCCCGTCTCTCAGAAGTGCTGGTCCCCAATGGGTGGATCAAGCTGCTGCGAAATCTCGTCAACGCGATCATTGTCGGCAGCACAGAGGGAACTTCGCTTTCCCCGGCCCTTCTCCGATCGCTGGCGTTCATGATTCGACAGCGAGAGGGCCAGTGGTCGTCGGAGAGTACGGAGATTCTGGGAGCGCTGTTCTCGAGCCTGAAAGTGCGGCTGGAGCAAGCAGATAGACTGGGTGGATTGGCGGGTCGGAAATATGAACTGGTCTGCGTGCTAGGGGTGGTGATCGATGCCATGGTCGACATCGGCGTGTCGACCATCAGCCACGAACAGTTATACAAGCCGTTGATTGCCCTGCTCGATGGCTTCAGCCACGATCGTGACCTTCATGTGGCCCAGGCCGCCGCCTACACCGGACAAGCCTTGCGGGGGATCCAGGATGATGATACCGTCGGCAAGGCATCCTTGCGGGGGCTACTGCGGGCCATCGACCTCACAATGACCGTTTCCGGCGCGGTCTCCTCTGTGGATCCGAGCAAGATCTGGGAGGCAGTCAAGTCTGGCATAGATGGAGCCTCGCGTCTCCGAGACTTCACCTGGGACATGTTTAAGAAGCGGACGGGGAAGTCTTGGTATACCGCCCTACGAGCGACCAGTGTTCTCATACGCACGCGGTCCTGGGATGAGCTGAGCAATTTCATCCAACAGGCAGAATGTAGAGCCGACAAGGACTTTCTTTGCGGCTTGTATGCCCAGCTGGATCTCATCAGCCAGCTTGTCCCTCCGGATCAGCTACAACGCATCTATAAGAGCATTCCCGAAAGCAGGCATGACCGTGTTCAAGCCTGGAAAATGCACACTGTTTGTGCGATCAAGGAACAAACCACCCCGCCTGAGCAAAAGCTAGCCAGTACACTAAAGAGATCGAAAACATACGTTTGGTCACTCAAATCCTGCGGATGGGAGGACGTCGGACAAGACCTATCTGATGACGGCAGCGCCCTGCTCGATGATTCCTACCGGAAGTGCATGCCGGCCCGAGAATATTACACCAAGAATGCGTTGTTGGAGTTTTACACTCAGGACGATGATAAACGACTGCAGATTCAGCGTTTATCTGGGGATAGACTCCCTGTGGATCACTGCTACATCAATCTCAATGTCGTGGACTCCGATCAAGGCGATGAGGTGCCGCTGGAAAGCCTGTTCGATTCTCGGGAACAGGGTGGCAGGAAGATCTGGCCGAAAAAGATTTTCATTGAAGGACAGGCAGGTGTTGGAAAAACAACGCTTTGCAAGAAAGTCGTTCACGATTTCCTGTATCGAAATCTGTGGTCTGATTGCTTCGACTGGATTTTGTGGCTGCCACTGCGACATCTCAAGGGTAAACATGCCGATTCTTATTCCATGAGAGACCTATTCCACCACGAGTACTTCTCCCAGCACCAGGATTCGGCGCTCTTGGCAGACACTTTGGATTCAATCGTAGCCTGGAATAGCGCTCGGGTGCTCTGGCTGTTGGATGGCCTAGATGAAGTCTCCCAAGACTGGGATGCCGATTCACCTATGGGCCGCTTTTTGCAAACTCTGCTCAAGCAGCCTCAAACTATTATCAGTTCACGTCCATACTCAACTAAGCAGCTAAGCGTGGTAAAGCAGGACTTGAAGCTGCGAACGGTGGGCTTTCACGCTGAGCAAATTGAGAACTACGTACGCGCCAAAGAAATCCACCCAGACCCTGAAACAGCCGATAAAATCTGGGAATTCATCGACGAGCATTCGCGAATTAGAGATATTGCGCAGATCCCGATCCAACTCGATGCCCTCTGCTATACTTGGAAAGAACCTTTAGGTAATAGCAATACAGCCAGGACTATGACTACCATCTACCAGGCGATCTGCGTGGAGCTACTACGGAAGGACCTGTGGCGCAGGGAGAAAACAATCGACGGCAGAACCCTGACAGAACAACAGACGGAAGGGCTGTCGGAGTTTGAGGTGCAGCTACACATGAAGGAGGAAATCAATCTCCTCGAGGCGCTGGCCTTCCATGGCCTACTCGCCAGCATCATTGATTTTGATGCTCCAGTACGAAGTCAGATCTATCAACATCTCCTGAATGGCAATGTTCTTGTCCCGAGGTTACACGAGAGCACAATCAAAGAGATAAGCTTTCTTCGTTCTTCAGATGCCACCGACAATGCCCAGCAAAGCTTTCACTTCTTACACTTGACAGTTCAAGAGTTCTTCGCTGCCCGATTTTTCGCGAAACACTGGACCACCCAGGCCACGATACACAGCTTGACACTGAATGGCCGCACAGACACTGATATCCCACCCCAAGTCTTCATGGCAAGAGAGAAATACAACGTTCGCTATGAGGTGTTCTGGAGATTTGTGGCCGGATTTCTGTATGTCGGATACAACCACCAAAAGCCAAGCGAGGAGCACACGGCAGCATTCCTCGAGGCCATGAAAAACAAACCCCGAGATATGTTGGGCCCCATGCATAGCAAGCTCATGATGCGCTTGTGGAGTGAAGTACCCGCATCGAACAATATTGCTAGGCTGAGATCTCTGCGTCAGAGTCACTACCAACAGCTCGCCCGGTGGAGCTCTTTCGAGGCCACAGCCTATGATAAAGGGGAGCTTGCAGAGGAGGCAGAATATCCGGATGCAGTTCTATATTCTCTCTTGAAACACCGAAGTTCTGACGTCAGACTACATGTTCTGAATGTCATTGCTCAGCGCAGAGTCTCGACAAGACTCACAGACTTGATAGCCTCCTGGGTAGACCAAGTCTCCGACGATGAACTAAATCCGGTCTTTGTTCGAATCCTGCTCAGGAATTGCCGATCACTGTCCCCCAAGGCTTCCGAAATTCTTCTTGGGCACCTACATGACGAATCAAAAGTGGAGGAGTCCGACTTGAAAGGCGTCCAGGTACCGGCCTTACCACAGGATCTTCTGAGAGCAATTTTAGATTGTCTTCATTATGAGCCAGCTGGTTTGAAGGCGGCAGCGCTGGAAATTCTGTCTGAACAGCCACCTTCAGCTCTGCAAGCCTATGTCAATACCATTGCCCATGGACTATCAGACCCGGAGTCAGACGGCGTGACATCTAAATCTCTCAAGATACTGGAACGTTTGGATCTGTCGCTTGAGATCTTACAGTCTATGACCTATCTTGTTTACAAACAAATCAGTTCTTACGACTCGCCATTCGACATTGTAAAGAAATCATTATGCCGCCATTCGCTAACGTCTCCAAGTATTCTAGGCTATGTCTGCTCTTTACTGGACCACAAATCCTTCATCGTGCGAAAATTGGCTGTGGGGGTTCTGGCCCAGCATCCTCTCTTGCCACGCAGTATGGCGGACTGGCTTGACCAAGAGGGGCACTTCGGTGATTGTCTGGTAAAGGATTTACGAACTACGGTCTGGCAGCAGCTCTTGCCATCTCAAAACATTCGGGAGGACATTGTACGAAGGTTGAAGCATATCGATCCCGCAGTGCGAGGAGTAGCTGCCTTGATCCTCGGCGGTCGATCAGATTTATCGAAGCCAACATTTGAAGCGGTGGCAGAGTTGTTGAGCGACACAAAGTGGTCTGTTCGAGAAGCAGCCGCCAAAGCTCTACGTGGTCAATCGGAACTTCCACACCATGTGCTAGATCGGGTGGCGGGCTTGCTAGGGGATCATCATCCACTCGTTAGATATCAGGCAGTCAAAACCTTGACAAAGTACCCCGATGATGAGCTAAAGTATCTCGATGATCTGGTACTCAGGCTGGAAGACCCAGATTTCTCTGTGGCGTACAAAGCATCCGAGGCCATCAGGAAGCACCCAAAAGTCCCGCGCGAGTTGCTTTATCATCTGTTTGCTCAGATGATCGATCCGCAAGATCACCATACGTCAAGGTTCGATCCAATATTCCGGAGCGCTCTCAGGCGAGGTCTGCCTCCAGATTTGGGCAATAGACTCCTAGATCTGGCGGAATTGGCGGATATAGAAGGAGAAGGAGGAGAAGGAGAAGAAGAGGAAGGAGACGTTGAGCACATCTTGGATCTTCTCGGAGAACAACCATTCCTGCCTCCCGGAAAGCTCCTCCAACTCAGTGAAAGATTTGTGACGAGTGATGACCGGATCGCTAGGGCGGTGGTCAAGACTCTCGTGGCGCAAGCCCACTTGCCGCCGCCTCTGATCCTTGCGCTCACGCGATTCCTCGATCGTGCCGACAAAGCGCTGGTCCTCGATGCCACACTCTGGCTGCTGGAACAGTCCGAGCTGCCCCACGAGGCTCTCGCCCTCATGGCAGGAATGCTCCCCACCGTCCCAATCCCGGAGTTCCCGGCGATCATCCTGTCAAGACAGCCTCCCCTGCCGCGCGAGATCCTGAACCTCGCCCTCTCCGCGTTTCGCCTGGCCACAGACGAACGCTACGCGGAGATCCACGAGGCGCTCGAGCGGCATGACGCATTCTACCGCATGCTGCCCCAGCTACCCGTGCACGACCTCCAGCGGCTGTGCCGGATCTGGCTGCGGCGGAGCTTCGGCGAACGCGTGCATTTCTACTTCCGCGACGGATCGCTCGTGGTGGACACCCCGGATTTTCAGGGCGCGATCCCGATGCCGCGGTATCAGCGGATCAAGCTGCGGCTGATCTTCCGGCTCACCGTGGTGGCATGTACGCGGGCATCGGAGATCGAGCGGGCTCGAAGCTGGATCCGCGGGTCAGTTGCGTGGACGAGCAGCCATTCACCGTGGGCTTTGGCTCTGGTGGCAGCGCTCCTTGCCGTTATTCTTAGGGGAGTATTATGCTCGACTTGATAGGACAATCTTCTTCCAGGTCCCTAGTTCGTTCTCGAGCGCCTGCCGCCGCCACAAGTCATGGCATGCACCTCGCTCTCCCAGCGCGCATGAGGTAGCTTCAATCTAGTACGCATAATGCTTCCGGTAGCTAGTGGTTCAGCAGCATGGTCCGATCCATGATTCTGGGTGCGAAAGGTCAAAGAAGACACCTTCTTCATCTTGGTTATGTCTGCAGAGCGTGAAGCCTTTTCAAATCCCGCCTAGTATTTTAATTTTGGGTACATTTCAACCTTACATCCTCATTATCTCATGAATACTATGTAATGCTTACAATGTTATACACAGCCTGTTTACTTAACTGAATCCCTCTACCATCCTAGGTACATGGTACACATGCTATTAACAAGAGTCGACTGTATGGGATTAGTAGTTCTAAACTCCCTCCACCCACCAGCCCATTCCCATAGCGAGAGCAAAAAAACGACACCAAGTTCAGACCCACAGCGGAGAATTGGGGGGGGAAGGGGGGGGAGTAGCCCGATTTCCCTGTTCGGTAAGTTAGTCACTGCTCAGTGAGTGAGCGAGATTGTCTTTCATTTCCAGGTTTCACCAGCATCAGGCCAAGGCCAAGACCACCATCTGCTGACCCATATACATGCTGCTGCTGCTGTAGCTCTCAGGGTCCTGGTCCATCCAGTAAAGACTTCTCCGTAGCTGGCCGAGACTTGTTCTGCGGGGTGAAACCAATCAATTCTAGATTAAACCTAGAACACACGTATAATTACCTGCAGGGAACCCCAGAGACTATTGGATTTAATTTACTATTCCCGGCTCTTGCTGCCTGGGTATATAGTGCTGGTGGAGATACTCGGCCCGATTCTGGGTGGCTAGCTGAGCTGCCGGGTACAAAGAAAAAGGAGTTTAATCTATCAGTCTTGGGGAAAGGCAGGAGGTGGGAAGTATCCCGCAATTCGATTAGCCTACCAAATACGGTTTTTGAACAGTTTGACTTGTCAAGGTGAAGAGAAAAGGTCTTTTGAATGGTGTGGTCAATATATACATGAGAAGGATATAGGTCAAAGTTTGAAATAACACGCTGTCGACTCATTGCTCATGCGACAGAACAGTGCAGCGCTGAAAGCAACCCCCAAAAGGGTCAACTTTAACAAGTGAAAAAAGAAGATAAGTCAAAAGACAAGATGTCACGTCGAATCCCTCAATCTTCAGGTAGTCATCACCTCACGCACTACGCTTCAACCCTAAGAAAAGTTGGACGAAGCGGTGACCGACGACCCCGACGACACGCTGACGTTGTTGACGGTGATCGTGGCGCCGGACTCGCTGGTGACGCGCACGTCCACGGTGTCCGTCCCGAACCCGCTGGCGTTCTCGAAGTAGTTGTAGGTGGAGCGGGTGGTGGACTGCCAGGTGCTGCCGCCGTCGGTGCTGACCTCGAGAGCAGTGACGGGCTCGTTGCTGTTCTCGACCTGCATGGCGAACCAGTAGGCGGAGGTGCCGCTCTTGTTGTTCAGCTTGATCGGGGTGGTGATGCCGCACTCGACGTACTCCCAGTCGATGGAGATGACGCCCTTGGAGATGTCGGCCAGCTCGGCGAAGGCGGTTTGGAAGAGGTCCAGGTGGTTGGAGTCGCATTCGGGGCATTCATCCACGATCTTTTAGGGGTGGGGGGTGTTAGTGGGGTTTGTGAATGGGAGCATTAGGGGTGAAGGGACTGGGACTAGGACTAGGACTGCTTACCATGGCCTTGATCTTGTTGCCGCTGGGGCCGGTGACCTGGACACAGGAACCGCACTGGGCGGCGTTGTCCCAGCGGGGAGAGCCTAGGGCGGTGCCGTAGAGGCCGGAGGGGATGGTGTAGCCGCTGAACGAGCAGGCGCCGCCGTCGACATTGCCGCCGTAGAAGGTGGCTTCGCCGGAGAACTCGGAGCTCAGGCTGCTGCTGGTGCTGCTGGAGGAAGAAGAGGACGAGGAAGAGGAAGAAGATGATGCAGAGGAGGTGGCAGCACTGGCGGCCGTGGTGCTAGTGGAAGAGGAAGTGGCCTTCTTCTCCTCGACGGAGGCAACGGAGACCTGAGCAGCCGCAGTCGTGGCAACACTGGCGGCTGTGGTGCTAGTGCTAGTGGTGGATGGCTTCTGCTCCTCAACGGAGGCAACGGAAACCTGGGCAGGAGCAGTAGTCGTGGCGGCCTGGGTGTTGACAGTCACAGCCTCAACGGTGGAAGTGGGCTGAGCAGCAGCAGTCGTGGTAGCCTGGGTGTTGACAATCACGGTCTGGACAGTTGATGTGGTCTGACCAGCGCCGAGGGTGATGGTCGTAGTGAGGAACACAGTGGTAGCCTCAACATCGGTGAAGGTAGAGGTCTCGACCGCAGCGGGGGGAGTGACTGTCGCATAGTGCGTGCTGACAGCGACATCATCATCGCCACAATCCCACTCGTCGTCCTCGGGGGTCGCAATAGGCCGGGCAGACACCGAGGAAAGGGCACCCAGGGCAGCAAGACCCAGCGAGGCAAGACGTTCGTACTTCATGGTTGATGTGAGGGTTTAAAACAGGGAAGTAATGAATGGAAGATTGGTCTCTTGTTGAATAGCCGGGATGGCAAAAGAACGTGGAATCAACACGGATGAAGTCGGTTTGGGGGAAAGAATGGACGCCTGGATATCAAATCCCAGGACTATAGAACTGCTGTTCCGGACAGAGTGGTAGTGGTCAACGAGAGATGGAGAAAGAAGGATAGAAAGAGCTCACAGCGGCGGGATCAAGGGAATAAAAGGAACCCCCCCCCCCAAGCACAGGATGTTTGCCCCGTGATCCAGACATTATGATGGGTCAATTTCAGCATCAAGATTTTGCCCCATTGTCAGCAATATCAGGGAAATGAAACTACCAGGGGGAGCAGTCGACGGGCCGAAAGGTAGAGAGCGAGTGGCCACTGGGCAAGGCAGCAACCAGCGGGAAATGAGATCGTGAGGTGAAACACTGGACTGGGGATCAATTCGATCGTGCAATTTGATCAATGGATTCCAGTGCGGGCAATGATATATTGGCATTTAATTAAACTACTCCGGTCAGACCCACCCCGGAGATTTTGCTCGCAACGGCGAGTTGTGAGCAGTTGTGGCCCGCTGTGGCTCTAGACTGTTATCAGCCTAAGCACTAAGCACTAAGCGGAACTGTCTCAGAATCTCTTCGTCGAGTTTCGACCCAGGAGGAGCTCTCGATTGTCTGATGATTCCGGATTGATGTTCACATTCAAAATCCACGGTCCACCCCAAGAGACATGTTCTCCTGAAATCGTGCTTGGCGTCAAACGACTGGTCACTGCTTGGGAGAGAGAAAAAATCCTGGACAATTTCGGAGCATCTGGCAAGTGGGTCGGTCCATCCCGTTCTGGCCTCCCATCATTTTGGCCGGGACCACCCCTGGGGCTACAGCACAACCTCAGTTTATGGAAATGAAGAAGAAATTATATTTCGCATCGCAGTGTGGACAACATGTGCATGTGCACGCCTCCTACTTGGAATCCCACATCACCTCATTCAACCTCAGCAGAGCATCCGCACTGGCCTTCTTGGCAGCCATAAATTCCTCCCGGTTATCCACTCCTCTGGGCCCGAGCAAAGCATCCGAGAAGCAGAGATCAATGAGGATTTTGAGCTCTTCATACGTGAAGGGTTCTCCGTTGCCAGCGGCCAGCGCTTTCTCTCCATGGGCAGCAAAGGATTCCTTCTCTTCCTTGGCGTAGTCTAGGGCTTTCTCGGCGCCCTCGAGGAACCAGTCCAGGAACTTGGCGCTGCGCGGGAGCGCGACCACCTCATGGTGCTCTTCGTGGGGGCTGGTGGTTCCGTCATGGGCCGGATCCTGCATCGGATCGATGATGATGTTCTTCAGGTTCTGTTGCAAGACGAGGACGTCCAGTTGAAGGCGCAAGGCTCCGTTCTCGTTCATAGCGCCGATCAGGCCGGTGTTCGCCACGAAAGTCTGGTCGATGAAGCGAGCAAGCCCAGAGGTAATGAACCATCTCTCAGATGATCCGAGGTAGGTGGAGATGTTACTGTCGAAGCCGATCAGATCACCATTCAACTCTAGAATCGTAGGCGATGCAGCAGTGGGCTGGTTCATCAGGATATGCCACCAGTGAGTGGTAGTGCTGGGAGATGGCGTCGTAGGCTCAGAAGCGCGCGAGTTTCGAGGATTGGGCCCTGCCATCGTCTTCTTCAGCATATGGATGACGCCACACCGACAGTCGATGTGTAGGGCGAACAGAGCGGTGTACGCCAATTCGCGCAGTGACCCAAGAGTGTTGTCGAAGATAGTCGCCGTTTCTTGGCTTAAGGGCAGATATATCGGCTGACTAACACCATCGACCTTGGACTTCATTGCCCCGATTAAGGTCCAACGACGGTTAGGAGGCCCGGTTTCCGGGCGTCGAGCTTCCGAGGTCGGGATGATTTGGCGTAGCTGGGATAAATGACTCGCAAACCATTGCTGTATCCAAGTCAGTATACACATGGCAGAACTGTGACTGAGTGAGCAAACGAACCATGCTATTGTAGAGGAGCGACAGAGCCACCACAGTCTTGGGATCGGATATGATGTCGTAGGGCTCTAACGGAACCTCGGAGGTCAGCTGGAGAAGCAGCTCAATTTCCTATCTTTCGTCAGCACAACTCATGCTAAGATTATTCACGAAAACCATACCTTATCGACAAGTGCCCATTTATCATTCGTTTCGTTCCCCCAGAGCTCGGCAACGACGTCATGCACGTCTCCAGCTTCAGCAAAGCCTGCAGCGGCCTTCAGCCGGGGCTCTCCCTTGTCTCGCGGAGATTTCTTGGTCACAATTGCTAATATTGGAATCAGTAAGCTGTGCATGTATCACGATCGTCAGAGTTTCTCACATTTGTACCATCCACAACACTTATCGTAGTAAGTCACGATCTGAGTAAGAAGCAGCTGTGTGAAGGCTTGATCAGGAGGAATGCTGGATAGCATCTTGCTAAAGTCTTGAATGATTGACATGAGCTTGACCGCTCCCTAAAACGCAGTTAGTATCAAAGCTCGGAATGTCTATGCCAGAAAAAGTACCTTGAAGACGGGTCGAGGCGAGACCGTGGACCATTGGGGGTCTTCTGTGAATGCATCGGGTGAGACAATAGTAAGGGTACAAAGGTCTGTGACTGTATCATCAAGTTGAGGTAAGAATACGTTGACCAAGAAGTCATCCAGGAAGGAGGTCAACGTGGTCATCGCAAGATCCGAATCCACCGGCACAATCTCCTTCAGCCGTTGAATGAAAGAAAGAGAGGGTGGCAGCACGAGACTGATATTGAATACACTCGGTTCAATGAGGATCTTGTGGCCAGTACCCGAGTTGCCTTGCTTAGCATCGGAGGTATCGGTCACTGCGAATTTCTGATTAGACTTGGTCACTAAGCCCGGCACAGACGACCTGAGAATCTCGTCCAGTTCAGACTGCTCAGCTTGAATCTCTGTGGTTTGATCTGTTTCGGATAGCTTGAACATTTTCTGCGACCGGTGATTAGTATTCAGCAATCGTCATTGCAGCTCTCTTCACATACTTTGTTCTTGTCTCGCATGCCCGTGTACATTTGACGCCTAGCGTCGTCTTGATCCCTCGGTCGGTACTCTCCATCAGTAGCCAAGTAGTCATGCAAGAGCGAACGAATCTAGGCAGGTATTGTCAGAAAATTGAACAGCGTACCGCAGTATGATCGCCTACCTCGCTCTGATAAAGCTTCCAAAGCTCCTTGAACCCACCAGCAAGCGTGTTGCTTTTCGGGATGCCCTCTCGTGTAACAATGGCTGCGATCACGTCATGGACGACACGGTGGCCCTCGGCAATAGACTCAAATTTGGCGTACAATGTCCACAAGAATTCAGTCAGCACATGGCCACGCTTCTCAATGGTCTTCGATGTCACGCCGCTTCTGCTGTCTTGGGCTGCAAAGCCACGGGTAGACAACTCAGGGTAACGCGCGTCGATCTCAGCATTCGTCTTGTCCACGACAGAGAACAGTTCGACGGGAAGCCTCTGCTCGATCCGATCCACCGCGATGTCAAGATTACCCATCTTGTTGAGCGCTTCTATAAGTAACTGTATGTAGTAGAATGTGTCGGCTTCGGGGTTCCGAGAAGCATCCTCCACCATCGGGTTAGAGGCATCCAGCTTGGCCAAGAAGTTGTAGACAGGGCGTTCCCAGGCGTTGTTACCAGACCAGCTGGATGCATTGACACCGTTGCCCCCCTCTCCCTCAGCTGTTGGGGGTTTCCACCGATTGGCGCAGTAAGGAGATTTCAGATACAGATGATCATGCAATTCTTCGATCAAGATATCCGTCAAGGAAGCCTCCTGACTACCGAAGTATGCGCGAATATCCGCCAGCGCCCCGATGTTCTCGAGTTCAGAACGCCGCAACAGCCGTAGCGCGTCATGCAGCACTTCAACCGCGGCAAGGAAACGCTTATCAGAGATGCGGGACTCCAGCTTCTCCGGCAGCGATTGAATCTCCTGGATCTGGCTGAACAGCTGAATGATGTCGTCGTATTTCTGCGAAGAGGTAGCCAGCCCTTTCAGCTCGGGCTTGGTGGACAGCAAGCCCGACTTCGCACCCTCAAGGGCGTTCTTCAGGTTGCGCACGCGAGTCTGTGAAGTCTGGATACTGGTCTGGATCTTATGATATGTACCGATAGAACTATTGAAGCCCTGGTGGTGTTCTAGCGAGCGGCATCAGCAAAAGGTGTCACTGAACCATTATCAGGACCCACCCCAAACAAGTCTCACTCACCATTGACGACCGACTTCAGTGTCCGCTGTATTTGGTCATGAATTTCCAGGAACTCCGGTTCACGCTCTGCCTTGCCCAGCGTGCTCGTGTCCATCAATTGTAACGCCACCTGCACCGGAACGCAGCTCTCAGAAGCCACGAAGTCCCATTCACGTTGTACCATCTGCAACACATCTGCCAATCCACGAAGTCAGCCACAACTGGAATTTCCCACCCAATCCGCCAATAACGGAAGATAGCTTTTCCCCCAGAAAAATAGCGTTATCGCACCTTCAATAGCCTGAGAGCCTCCTCCCTGGCCCCCCGCGCGTCCAGCAGAATTCATTGCCCTGTGCTCCCGTTCTCGTTCTCGCTCGCGGCTGCTGCTACCTCCCAACCAACTCGTCTCCCCACGCGGCGCCCGACCGTCTCGAGAGCCCAACGTCGCCCTCTCCGCATCGCCCTCCCTGGTCCTGGACCGCGACGACGAATGCTCGGGGTCGCGATCCCACCGATCACGGCGGCGCTCCGGCGATTGAGCCGGCGACAAGGACGACGGCGACGCCTCCGGGTAGAAGCCACCATAGCCGCCAGGCCGGAGATCGCGGGCCCCTGATGTACCGCTGCTACCGGCACCGCTTCCCCCTCCTCCTCCTCCTCCTCCTCCATATCCATTCATACCTAAGCTATTGCTCCCGTTGCTGCCGTTGCTGCCGTACCCGCCATCACCACGATCGTAGCGGCTGGCGTCGGAGTATCCGTATCCGTTCGCGTAAGGGTTTCGGCCGCTCATGCCAGGTCACTTGTACTCGGAGGAGTCTCGGATCGATAACGGCTAGGTAAGTCGGGAAGAGCGATTCGCGCTTTCGGTGGTGTACAGTGTGTGTCTGCGTGTGCAAGAAAATGTGGTCGGTCGGTCGGTCGGTCGGTCGCTGGAATCACCCCTCGATCTCGACCTCCGTAAGTCTGATCTGAGCACTGACGTAGCGGGATTAAACAGGAGGTGACACAAGCATGGTCGTTTTTCGGGGGAATGCGTGGAGCAGATATCGGAGGTCGCGAGTGTTCCGGACCACAAGGTGTTCTTGGAACGAGAGGCTTTCGTGGTTAGATCGGGGTTGCGACAGGTCGTAAGGGATGTGGGATAAGATTGTTGTAGACAATCGGAGGAGCTGCATGTGGAAACAACCGATTCCGCGAGGTGTCGCTTGGCCCGTTTCTCCACATTCCCGCCCACCTCCTCCGGCCTGCTTGGTCTTCCGTCCACGGTACAGTATCTTTTTTACTTAACTTATCTGACAAGGGGGAGTGTTCCTGGAGCTTTCAATGCTTTTACACTATACAATATTGCTACAATAAACTTGACCGCAGATGACTGGTTCCGCTTCCTGGAAGATTACAGCGCATTGAAGAGCACGACCTAGGACTCGACAACAAGGCTGGGTGTTGGTACTAGTAATGATCTAGGTATAATGTATTGGCTCCAGGCTCTATATGAGGCTCATGGTATAAACAGGAGCTAACAGGCTCATTTGGAAATCGCCTTGGTTTCCCGCTGGAGCCAACCACGGGTGTATTCGTCGTTCTCGAAGAACTTGTGTGTCTTTTCCCAGACCTCAGCATGGTAATCATTGACCCACTTAAGCTCGGCATCAGTGAGAAGAGAGGGCTCAATCAGATTTTGACCGATAGGAGCCATCGTGACGTGCTCGAAGCCCAACCAGGGCTTGTCACCGAACCTGTGCGTCGTCTGCACTTCGCGTGCCATGATAATGTCTAAGACAACGTCAACAACTTGCACCTTGTTTGCGCTTGTTGGATGACTTACTCTCAATACGGATACCAAACTTTCCATCTTCGTAGAAGCCGGGTTCTGCTTTGGTCAGCGTCAAGAATGCTCAGGGGGAAAGGTTTAACCTACCGTCGGAGATGACGTTGCCAGGAGCGATGGGGACTTCAGTGTATTGTACGCGCGTGCCAATGCCAATGGGCCCTTCGTGCACGTTCTAACGCAGAATTAGCAAAGCAGGAATTCAGGCAGGCTTCGTAAAACTCACCAGGTAAGAACCGACTCCATGGCCAGTTCCATGCAGGTAATCGAGACCCTCCTTCCACAGGTGCTGTCGCGCAAGCGCATCAAGCGCAAAGCCACTAGTGCCCTTGGGGAATACAGCAGTGTCAATCGAGATAAGACCCTTTAGCACAAGAGTGAATGCCTTCTTCTCAAGTTCTGTGGGCTTGCCGAAGTGGAATGTACGGGTCACATCAGTTGTACCATCCAGGTACTGAGCGCCCGAGTCACAGAGATAGATGGCGGTAGGGTCAATGATGGCGCAACTTCCCTTCTCAGGCTTGTAGTGGATGACGGCACCGTTAGGACCCGTGGAGGAGATTGTGTCAAACGACAGACCAGCAAAGAGATCGTGCTTGGATCTGATCTGCTCCAGCTTGTCTGCAGCATCCACCTCATCCAGAGTTGTCTTCTTGTTGATCAACTCATTCTCGAGCCAGGCCAGGTACTCCGACAAGGCTGCACCATCACGGATGTGACAGGCCCGCATGCCTGCGAGCTCAACTTCGTTTTTGACCGCCTTGGCATCGCCAATAGGGCTACGGACCTCCTCAACCTGCTCCTCGCCTCCAAGGCTAAGGCTCAGAGCCCAAGAAGCCCTGTTAGATACAAGGAATTTAGAAGACGCACCCTCGGCTTGCTGCTTCCGAGCCTCGCTTAGTGCTTTGGCATCCGCGAAGATCGAGTCATAAGGCTTGACCACGACGTCCTGACCAAGGTGGGCCTTCACCTCCGGCGTAAGTTTATCATCATCGACGTAGATGTCAACAGCGGTGGGAGTAACGATAGCGTATGAAAAGAACACGGGGTTGTAGGGAATACTAGACCCGGATCATTTAGCTCAGGACCGGGTGCGGAATGACGTCGTGGCAAAAGTTGGGTGCGAAAAACTTACTCAGTGCCACGAAGGTTGAACAGCCAAGCAATCTCATCCAGCATAGCTATCGTTCGTTAGTCAACAGGAATGTAGACGACCAATGTGGCCCGGCAGGCGAAGACCCACAGATAACGAAACCAGCAGCCTTCTTGTTCTCCAATTCCTTGCGCAGATCCTGGATCTTCTCCTGGAAGCTCTTGCCAGCATACTTCTCCGGGTGAACAGTCACCTTCTCCCTCGGAGGAGCAGGTTTGTCATTCTTCCAGACCAGGTCAACAAGATTCTGCTGCACGCCAACAAGGGACGAGCCCTTCTTCTTCAGGGTCTCTGAAAGACTACGGGCGCCAGCTGAGAGCAGTCAGCTTCAAGGATATTTGCCGGCCACAAAGCGTACTACCTCACTTACAGGCTGTAATCAAAGCTGGGTCGACACCAACCACTTTGCCACCCTCGGCCTGCTCCGTGGTCCTAAATCAAAGTTTAGCTTCGGAAGCTGGACAGCCGTTGTTATGTTTGACCTCCATACCATTCTTGCCAGGTTGGGACGCCCTCAACGCCCCGCTTCAGCAGCGCCCAGTTGCTGTCAAGCTGCTTGGCAGCCTGGTTGAAGTAACGGCCGTCTGTGGACAATGCTGCCTTGGACAAGGAGATTATGGCCGTTCCAGCCGAGCCAGAGAAACCTGAGATGAACTCTATCAAGCGGAGTGTGAGTTATATGATAATCGATCCGGCGCCGTAGACAAGAGTCGCAGAAAGGGCAAAAGGTTGGTGTTCTAACCTCGACGGCCGTCGCATGGCGCAATATATTCCGACTGGTGACTGTCTTCCGAAGGAACGACTTTGCATTGGGTGAGAATCTTAATATCAACGGAAACTGAGAGTTCATTGGGTTCATACTATATACATCCACCTTGTGCTCTTGCATCAACTGCCTCAGCTTGGCCAGGCGCTCGGAGGTGTTCACGGTCTCCATCTCGATGATGAAGCGCGGGGCGGAGCTGGAAAAGGGCCTTAGACGGGGAAGGGGTAACTTGCGAGCCGATCGGAAAGCTGATATCCAAGAAAGGCGGATTGGAGGGTGCGAAAAAAGCATCTACTGGCGAGTGTTTGCAAAGGACAGCTGCAAGTGTCCGGGGGAGAAGGTGGGATTCAAATGAGCCGGGGTTGCACAGACTAAGCACGCAAGGCCCTGGGATTGAAGGTAGCGAGAAAAGGTGGGGGGGAGGGAAGGAAAGGGAAAGATACAACGGTCGTGTGCACAAGAACGAGCGAGAGTGGAGGATACTAGCTGTCGACTCAGTTGCTATTCGATAAGGTGAGTAACTGGTGGTGGTGAGTACGTAAGGGAAGTTCAGTTCTCCGTAGGAGCTCCGATGGCAGATTAAAGTGGGACCCTTTGCCGGCCTTCCTTTGCCGACTGTAAGAGTGGGTAACTGCCACTGCCACGAGAAAGATCGGTATTGTCATTGCCAGACCGTAACTTTGTTTTTGCAATCTTGTTTTCTTACCCATACAACTTGTACTGTACCTCTCCAAAGCACTGCAATGACTATGCTTACATCGTCGCAAACTCAACCATTGCGGATTCCAAAATCGAGGTCAAATGGGGTTGAAATTTGGTGATAAACCGCATTCTTCAACCCAGCATTGCTGAAACGACCATGGGCCGTTGGTTGGGAGTCAAACAACGTCCTGCAGGTGTTAGCCCAGCTAGTCACATGCTTCTCTCAATACCATCCCTCTCCCCGACAATAACTGGAACATCGAATGCCCTGATCGTCATCACAAGCTAACCATTCATTCTTCATCGGTGCGGATTACTCACTAGAACCATTACAGTAAGTAAGTAGCCTTCCCCTCCATCCCACTTCTCACCGCCTAACCTTTCGGCGGTAGTGTTATCAGCACGTGACACCCCTTAAATACAGATATCGATCATCATCTACTATCTATATTCTTCTTTTCTCTCGCAAGGAGGCCCTCAGTGTTGCGGCCATGTCTGGGCACATTCCAGGTCAGGCCTCGGATGCGCACCTGCTCATCAATGAGGCCAAGGCAGTAAGTCGAGTTGTCTTTCCGAGCCAATTGAGGGATCCAGGGCTAAAAGTCATTCCTGGTCCTAGCTAGTGTCGCAGCTCTATGATCCGGCAAATACTGGCAACCCCGCCAAGATTAAGGCGATCCAAGAGCACCTGCAGAGTCTTCAAAAGGGCCCTCAAGCATGGCTGATCGCAAACCACCTTCTCGCGGAGGACAATACTGACCTGAGATTCTTTGGAGCTCTGACTTTTACCGTAAAAATCAATCAGGATTGGTGCGCGTCCTTCTAATGACTTCATTGTGCGAGACCTACTGACTCTGTCCGTAGGCAACACCTGAGCACAGAAGAGGCCCAGGAGCTACTAGGACGGCTGATTGATCATTATGTTATGTTGGTCAATGGAGGCGAGCGTTCTCTGGTCGTACGAAAACTAGCTTCCAGCTTAGCGACCATCTTCCTGAAACCCAACGCTCCCTGGACTCGGGCTCTCTGCAACCTAGCGGCTTCCATGGCGGATGGCAAGTATGTCTCGGAGGAACACTGCAAGGATGTCGACCTGAAAAATACCGTGCTCCCCGCGTTGTCTGAAGGCCAGGTAACTGCCTTGCTCTATTTCTCTAATACTCTTGGAGAGGAGATTCATAAATGGAGCTCCGAAGCCCGTCGCAATCGAGATGATCACCCGATTTCCGAGAATATCAAGGATGCCTTCGTACTCGTCGATGTCGTTCTCGGTCACATACTGCAGCAAGTTGCGTCAGGGGCTCACTTGTCTGATGATAGTTTGGGGGATGAGGCCATTAACTCCTACCAGGTGAGTTCACTCGTCTTCTGTATTCTTGTCTCATCTAACATCTGGGATACTAGACATGGATGTCCGTTCGAAGCGCATTCCAGCTTCGCGACACGATACCTGTATCGCAACTCGCTCCTACTACGACCTACGTGATTCAATGCATGAGGATCCCAGTTTTGTCGAAAACTGCGACCCAAGTCGTGGTCGAGTTAATAGATTGGCGGGACACAATCTTCACCCCAGGTCATATCAGCGCCATCTTGGACTATATTGTTTGTGACTATGGTACTGCGCATATTGCTTCACTGATGGAGGGCGATTTCGAGGATGAGAATATGACATTCTTGGAGCTTCTGCTGGCATATGCAACACTACAGCAACGGGATCTTCTCACGAAAGCATTGGACCCGCAACATGAGAAAGTACTCGCTCTGCTACACACATTGTTCAAAGCTCCTGGTTATGCATCAGTGGATGATTCGGCTTCTCCTTTGGTTCTTGAGTGGTGGACTGAGGTTGCCGATGATCTTCAAGAGATATATGTGGATTCAGAAGATCAAACGGGGCTTGGGCCTGCAAAGCACAACCTTGCTCGTGCAGCACTGGATTGTTTTGAGAAGCTCAAGTATCCCACTCCAGCAGAGTTGCAAGACTGGAGCGACGATGAACGTAGTGAGTTCGGGGCTTTTCGGCGTGACGTCTGCGACTTTCTCCTAGCGATATATCCAATGCTGGGGGTAGAACTGGTCCAGGTCTTTCAGGAGCGAGCGAGATCGTCACTTCAACAGCAGGATTGGCGAACGTTTGAGGCCTCCATCTTCTGCGTTGCTCAGCTCTCCGAGGCCGTCGATGAGAACCAGCACGCCGATGAATGCCTCAATTCAATATTCTTCTGCGATGAATTCGCAAACTTATGCGAGGGAAACGGAGTGGTCATCCCAGACAAACCCCGTCAAACATTGGTGGATATGCTCGGGAAATATCAGTCATACTTCGAACGGACACACGCGTTGCTTCCCCGGGTGCTAACATTTCTCTTCGCGTCGCTTGAGGTCGGTCCTTGCGCATCAGCAGCGTCCAAGTCGATCGCATATCTCTGCAAGTCATGTCGCAATGCTCTTACGCTGGAGCTTCCTGCTTTCATTGGGCAATTTGAGCAATTCCGCTTCAAGCCCACAGCCACGGCTCACACCATGGAGAAAGTTCTGGAGGGCATCGCTGCGATCATACAGACCGTACCCGAGGATGGCGCAAAGGCCCAATACCTCGAGCAAATTCTTCGGATCTTCCATGAGCAGGCAAACGCAGCTCGTGAAGAAGCCGGTAATGGGCTCATTGAGCAAGCACAAAGCCGTGCCCAGCTCGTGCTCCGATGCGTTGCCAGCGTTGGCAAGGGTCTCCGAACCGATGGTGAGATCAACTTAGACTCTCACGAAGATAAGGAAGCGGATGCTTATCCGCCAACTTTCTGGAATATGGGCGATGGGGCTGTTGTACAAAACCTCATCATGCAGTCCATGCAGCTCCTCATGACTGATTTCCCTGTGGATGTGGCGATTATCGAGGCTACCTGCGACATACTCAAAGCCGGCTACACTGAGAGGACAGGCCCCTACGTTTTCCCACCGATAATGACGGTAAATTTTGTAAAGAGCATCCCTCTGGGCAGCGCGGGTACCGATATGGTCATGGGCACTGCCTCGGCCTTTCTTGCATCTCACAGCTCCCATCCACAGCGTATTCGTGATGAGACAGCTGCGTTGATCGTGCACGTCTACGAAACATTCTGCTGGATGCATGAGAAACCAGAGTGCTACGATCCCGAGGTCGCCAACAGCGGGATCGATTTTCTGACGCGCTTGCTTCCGAAATACCACCCTTTCCTCTTCGCGCTCACCTCCACACCGCAGGAACCCGGCCAGACGGCTACTCAGCCGCGACCCACTGTTCTGAACGCTATTCTGAACTTCACACTTATCTCACTGCAAGGCCCCGAACCTCTTCCGCTCCGCTCCGCCTCGCAATTCTGGGTGAGCGTGTTGAACTTACCCGGTGATGCTCCGCCCATTCAAAATGCTATCCGTGAATGTCTGCCTGCTCTCTGCCGGATCTTGGTGACGCAATTCGCCGGAAGATGTGCCCGGTCGGATATCGAGCACCTGTGCGAGGTGCTTCGCAAAGTCATTTTCAAGCAACAGGGTGCGGCTCGGCCGCATCTTACCGCGGCGTTGGCCGAACTAGATGAGGCCGTTGATCAACACCAGCGACCAACCGTCACACCAGAAGAACGACAACGCTTCCTTGCGTCTTTGTTGGCCGCAAGGGGCGCCAGAGCACAGACCAGTCAGTTGGTACGCTCGTTCTGGGTCAAGTGCCGGGGTGACTCATTCAATTACGTCGGATAGAGACCATAGGGTAGCTGACAGTGTCAAACAATGACTATTGGTAACTCCGAGGCCCATCAGAACAGGGTTCGTGCTAGGCAAGTTGTAAATGGTTCGGCGATGTAACACTACCACTGCAACATGTAAATCATGCAGGGAATGTAGAGGGGGACACGCACTTCCCGAACGGCCGTGTTTACAACCAAAACTCCCACACAACGCGTTCCTTGCCCAAACGCCAACATCTTTTATAACGGTTATATGATATGAAGTAAGTCTTTGCTTTTCTATAAGGATATGTTACTAAGAATAATTAGTAATATAAGTATTCAAGGCCTTTCGCAGCCCGCGTACAAGCGACCGAGGCAGCAAGACCTTTCGCAGCACCTCTGTAGGCAGAAAAGTAAATGAAGGCTTACAAAGCACGTTTAATATATAATGCAGATAACTATATATCTTATGTCTATAGATTATAACCATTTTGAAGTGTTTCTGCGGTAGATAATGATGATTTTACAGATAAGTTGAAGGTATATAAAATCAGTGCGTGGCCCCGGGCTCTACTTTTTCATGTCCACTGCTTGAACAGGCTCGAATTGTCTGCCTCAGGCATAATGGCAGCTTTGTGGACGCTAAAATTCGCCTCCAGGCTTCAAGCGGGGCGATCGGCTTTTGGCGGGCTACCGATTTCCTCCGCCACTGAGGCGGTGCGTCCAAAACTCACCTACACCTGAAATTGGGAGTATGCCTAT